CTGAAACAACCTCTGAGATGATCAAAATCAGGGCATGGCTAACTCACAGATTGAACCCTGAAACAACCTCTGAGATGATCAAAATCAGGGCATGGGTAACTCACAGATCGAATTGGAATTTAGCATGTTGAGTTTTGAGAGGTAGGAGAACCTGAAGAAAAAGCCACAAATCCAGGGACAGACCAAACAAACTCAAATATGGAATGGTTTAATGTGAAGAGATTKATGTCACATAAAATGCTCTCCGTAGCAACATCAATCATTACATGTAAAGGAAGTAATATCCCTATTGATGTTCTAAAAATTCTCGCACAACTTGGTTGTACATTGGTTCATAGTGCAGCTTGTCATTTAACTAAAACAATAAATTTATCTTTTTAGCTTCACAGTGACAAGAAGCAAATAAGGTATAATATACTGTTATATATCTGAATTATTATAAAACTCGTTTATTAATCACTATCCACAGTATTTTTGTGTTTGCTGATGGTTGATATAATAAATATTCTATATATCCACTAAAAATATGTGATTCTTTAGTGTTGGTCTGATTGGCTATCCAAATGTTGGTAAAAGCTCAATAATTAACACACTACGAGCCAAGAAAGTTTGCAAAGTAGCGCCAATTGCGGGAGAGACCAAGGCAAGTATAACAATTGTACAACACTTTACAAAAAGAATCCCCCTTCCTTCTAGAGTGTGTTCACACGCAAAGGCTATCAAGGTATTTCTCGTACTTGGCCCTTGAACTTGACCTCTGTGCTAATGTACAATATGTGCTACATTCTAGGTTTGGCAGTACATCACACTAATGCGTCGTATATTCCTGGTTGATTGCCCTGGTGTGGTTTATCCTAATGATGATACGGAGACAGACATCATCCTAAAGGGCGTGGTAAGTTCGTGACAACCTCACGGATATCAAATATCTCCAGGGAAGATACATCCTATGATAGGTTATTTAGAAAAGCGAAGAATAAATAGTGTGTTCAAAATCGTTTACACTGAAAAAAGTTCAAACGATTAAATTTCACTTGACAGTTTTGATGTCGTCATTGTGTTTTTGTGCATTAATAACTTTTTTTCTTTTTCTCCCTGCTTAATATATTTATGTTATGGTACCTGTCTGGGTGTGGCGAGGTGTGTCCCTTTCTCAATATTATTTGTTATACCTCAGGTTCGCGTAGAAAACGTGAAAGAGGCCGCAGAACATATCCCTGAAGTACTGGCTCGAGTCAAACGCGAGTACATCAGCAAGTCGTACAAGATAAACACTTGGAATGATGCCACAGACTTTCTTGAACAGCTGGCGAGAAGAACCGGGAAGCTGCTGAAGGTGCGTAGTAATCTAGCATTATGATACACAGCACGGTAACGGTACAGTATTGCAACACCTTCTAAACCTAATACATGGCTCGAGTTTATACTGGCTAGAAGAGATTCCGTATTACGGTGGAACTACACTGCACACATTGTTTAGACATTTTTCACTTCACGGTCACGATGCCGAAAGTTCACCCTTTAAAAGTGACGTGTTCAGTACTGTTCATATCCATTCCAAGTCAACACGAGTATATCTACACATATACATCAGAACCCCAGTTGTTCTTAACCTTGTCGAAAAATGTCTTCTTTTATGATGACCAGCAAAGATTTAAACAAGATTAAATCCTTTTCTTTGAAATTTTCTTATTTGTGCAATTGTAAATTTGTACACTTGTCAATTTGTAAAAAATCTAGTAAATAATTTAAAAAAAAAAAAAAAAAAAAAAC